AACTTGTAAAAAAAATAAATATATAATAAAGACAATTTAGTCAAATATACATCCAATAATCTTTTATTCCTTTAACAAAATACGATAATCTTATATTCTTGCTAAACCAACCAAACATAAAATACAACATTCACAGTAATTCTATTCCCTGATAATCTTTTATTACCACTGGTAATCTTACATTCCGTGAACCAAACGCACCCTTAATATGCATCAGTAATAAATCTACGTGATAAACAATATCTGTTTTATTAACATAAAGTAAGATTTTTTTTAATCTAGAGTGATTACTAGTAGTAGTATTTGCTTTAGAGATTCTCAACCATTTTACAATGAACGCTCAAATATCCTATAGTTATTGGTGCACGAACCTATGACCTTTGAAGATAACAATCATCCCTTCAACAAATGAGGTAACTTAATTGATATATTTATATAAAAAGTTACATTATAGGAATAATTTAACTTAAAATTATTAATATACCAAAAAAGAATTATTATTATTATTATTATCATAAATATTTGAATTTATACTTTTTGTTTTATACTTTGATTTTTATGCTTTTTAAATTAAGTTAAATGACACTAAATTAAGTTTGACAGTTATAAAATATAAAATTTTGTCTCAATCAATCTGTGAGTGAAAATATAAACTAATAAAATTAGTTATATCACAGAAATAACTTTATTAAAATTTTAAAATAATTATCTATTCGTAAAATAATACTATACTGAAATAGGCATTTTAAAAAATATATTATTATAAATTATACCAAAAAAGATATATACAAATTTAAATTTATTTATTTTAACTTAAAAGTCAATTTTATTAATATTTTTGGTTACATATTAATTTAACTATTATTTAACTAGATTGATTTTCTTTCTCACTCTATTCTAATAAAATTGATTGAATGTTATGATAAAAAAAATCTGCTTGAAGAAGGTTCACCATAATTTATTTCATAATTAGGCTGATTATTATATTAACTTAAAAAATTATCAAAATCTCACGTAACATGCAATTTAGATACATGAATCATGATAGACAGACAAAAATTATTACATTATCCGAATGAGATGTAACAAATATTGTAAAAGATAATCTAATTTATAATATAATTTCTATGAACATAATTTTGATTTTTGCCGTATATTCTATTTGAGAATTTTTAAATTAAAATAATAAAAACATGACTCGTATATTTGACAAACTTAATCTCATTATCTTTCTGAGTCAATTCGATGAAACCTGACCCCTACTTATTTCTTCATCAGTGTTTTAGACTTTTAGTAATTATTTTATTCTATTCTATCTGGCAAACCAAATATATACTACTCAAGTACCGCAGCAGGCGAAGTAAACGAGGTGAGGATAATGAAAACCAGAAATCAATATTAAAAAAAAAATCTCTGAATGACTGCCTGCCTTGGGCTTTCCCGCATCTCTTCAAAAGTTTAGAGGAAGAGACAAAACAGAGACAGTGAGAGAGAGAGGACCCAACAGACAAGAGATTGTATTAGAAAAGGTGGGTTAATATATTATTAATATATAGTATTACCAGATATATTATAATATATTTAATAAATTTGATTTAGCGTTATCTGAAATATCGAGTAATAATAATGTTGTAAGTGAAAATCATGAAGAAAATATTAAAAAATTTGGCAACCAGTAAACTTAACTAGTAGGTTTGTGTCGATATAAATGAAAAATGTATCGATCCATAGCAATATAACAGTTAAAAATATGATAAAACCGGTGTCATTATGATAAAACCGGTAAACCGCTACCAGATATATTGAAAGTGTCGATAAATTAATATAAGTATCGACACTTTTGTAATTTAAAAGAGAAGAAGTTATAGCGCCTATAAAGTGTCGATACTTTATACAAATGTATCGATCCATAGCAATATAACAGGTAATAATATGACAAAACCGGTGTCATTATGATAAAACCGGTAAACCGCTACCGGATATATTGAAAGTGTCGATAAATTAATATAAGTATCGACACTTTTGTAATTTAAAAGAGAAGAAGTTATAGCGCTTAAAAAGTGTCGATATTTTATACAAATGTATCGATACATAGCAATATAACAAGTAATAATACGACAAAACAGATCTCGAAATGATAAAACCGGTAAAAAGCTACCGGATATATTGAAAGTATCGATAAATTAATATAAGTATCGACACTTTTGATATTTAAAAGAGAATAAGTTATAGCTCCTAAAAAGTGTCGATACTTTATACAAATGTATCGATTCACATCAATATAACAGGTAATAATATGACAAAACATGTCTCGAAATGATAAAATCGGTAAAAAGCTACCGAATATATTGAAAGTGTCGATAAATTAATATAAGTATCGACACTTTTGATATTTAAAAGAGAAGAAGTTATAGCGCCTAAAAATTGTCGATACTTTATACAAATGTATCGATCCATATTAATATAACATGTAATAATATGACAAAACAGGTCTTGAAATGATAAAATCGGTAAAAAGATACTGGATATATTGAAAGTGTCGATAAATTAATATAAGTATCGACACTTTTGTAATTTAAAAGAGAAGAAGTTATAGCGCCTAAAAAGTGTCGATACTTTATACATATGTATTGATCCATAGCAATATAACATGTAATAATATTACAAAACATGTCTCGAAATGATAAAATCGGTAAAAAGATACCGGATATATTGAAAGTGTCGATAAATTAATATAAGTATCGACACTTTTGTAATTTAAAAGAGAAGAAGTTATAACGCCTAAAAAGTATCGATACTTTATACAAATGTATCGATCTATAGCAATATAACAGGTAATAATATGATAAAATATGTCTCGAAATGATAAAACCGGTAAAAAGCTATCGAATATATTGCAAGTGTCGATAAATTAATATAATTATCAACACTTTTTATATTTAAAAGAGAATAAGTTATAGCGCCTAAAAAGTGTCGATATTTTATACAAATGTATCGATCCATAGCAATATAACAGGTAATAATATGACAAAACAGATCTCGAAATGATTAAATGTATTGATGAAGGGTGGTACAACATTAAATTTGCAGGACATATTCAGGTATGTACAATAACTACAGAATTCAATAATTTTAAAGTAATAGGTAAAATTACAATGTAGGTGATAAAATTAGGCTATTTTAATGACAAATAATTATAATGTAATTGGTAAATTGACAATGTAACCAATATACATATACCGTTTAATTATAAAACAGGTTAACATAAAGTATCGACACTATTAGATTTTGTGTCGATACATTTATAACAAGTATCGATCCCAAAATCAAAGAGACCGATAATTATAATGTAATAGGTAAATTTTCAATGTAACCGGTAGAAATATACCAGGTTCATGAGAGAATAGGTCAACATAAAGTATCGACACTTTTTTAATTTGTGTCGATATATTTTTCCAAAATGAATGGCAAACGAGGTGTACACATAAAGTGTCGATACATTTGTAAAAAGTATCGATCCTCGAAACATCGAAATCGATAATTATTATGTAACAGGTAAATTTACAATGTAACCGGTTAAAATATACCGGTTAATTAACAAATAGGTCTACATTATGTATCGACACCCTTTAAATATGTGTCGCTACTTTTTTCCAAAATAAAGCACAAACGAGTTGCACGCATAAAGTGTTGATACATTTAAAATTGTATCGATCCCGAAAACATCGAAAACGATATACATAATGTAATAGGTCAATTTATAATGTAACCGGTTTAAATTTACCGATTTTATGAGAAACAACAACAACAACAACAACAACAAAACCCAATTCCCATATGCAATGGGGTAAGGGAGAGGTAGGGTAGTAGGCTGCCCCAAACGCCAGGTTGAGAGTAGCTTTCGTGGAAGACCTCCGGCAGTCAGAAAATTAAAAATATAGATAAAATGCAAAGCATGTATAAATAAATACATAAATACATAGTTGAACATTATTTTATGAGAAAATAGGTTAATATAAGCGCTACTTATTATATTATATAAGCGCTACCTAATTTGTTATTGTACTTGATAATATTTTCGGTTAAATGCCTATTTTATTATATAAGCGCTACCTAATATTTTATTGTGCTTGATAATATTTCCAGTTAAATGATATAATATAACCGATCTAAATTTTAATCGATCACTTGTTTAACCGGTCACACCATTTTTTAATCGTTTTTTAGGCGCCGCACAGCATAACTTTCCCAACAAACAACGTTAACAACGTTAATAGTCTTGTCTCATTGAGTATGTCAATAAGATTAGAGTAAACTACAAGGGAGATCACCAAACTATGGTCATTAATCAATCTTGTCACCGAATTATTTTTTATCTCAATTCGACCACCAAACTTTTAATTGATTCAATCAGACCACTCTCCGTTAAAAAAACGATTTTACTGATGTGTCCGTTAATAAAACTGGCATAATTATATATTTGGTCCTTAATATTGGAATAATTATACCTTTAGTCCTTAATATTTACATATTCTATCAATTTAACAGAGAGTAGTCTAATTGAATCAATTATAAAATTTGGTAGTCAAATTGAGACAAAAAATAATTCGGTGACAAGATAGATTAATGACCATAGTTTGGTGGCCTCCCGTGTAGTTTACTCATAAAATTATGAGAACTTTCATTCTTGTATTCACGTAGTTCTACCGTAAGCAACCTTAATATATAATTAATTTTTTTATAAAAAATATTTTTTATATTTTTAATAAAAAATTATCAAAAATATTTTTTTTAAACTATTAATATTTTTAATATTTTCGATAAAATACTTAATAATAATATTTTTAATAAAAAAATATTATTTTAAATAACACTTTACCAAAAATGATAAATATTTTAAGTATAAATAATAATATTTTAGATAATGTTTTTACTAAAATTATTAAAAAAATAATAAGTAACTTTCTTTTTTCTGGTTCATGATTTCAGGGCCTCCATGTTGACTTGATTCTAATCTCTCCCGGCCAGCTCCAGAAGCTTTAGAATTTTCCCTTCCATTATTATTTTTTATTTCTGATCAGAAGAAGATATAAATCCGAATCCCATATTTTTGCTGGAAAGAGATTCCAATTCTGCTGTTATTTTACCCTCTCTCTCTCTCTCTCTCTGTCTTGAGGCTTCCAGGTAAGAAAAGGAAAATGCATATCAACCCAGATTTTGTTTATACCATACCTGTACTGTTTTAATGGCTTTTTTTCTCTTTCCTTTTCTGTTGATATAATTACTATACATTTACATGCTTTTTGAGCTCCCCCCCCCCCCCCCTTTCCATTGTTTTTGAGGGAGATGGGTGTCTCTTTGCAACTCTATTTTTGGAACAACAGCTGAAGAAATTGCTTCCTAGGGCCTTACTATTCCCTTTTTTACACCGAAATTTGTTTTTCTTTCCTGTCTCTATTTTTTCTTTTTAATGATGTTTTTTAGATTTGGATATATGATTTTGCGGGGGTCTCTCAAAATAAGAACTTTGGGTTTAAAAGTTGCTTCTTTTGGGAAAAGCAGTTTTTTCCTCTTTTAAACACACCCAAAAAAATAAAACAAATTTCTGTGTTTTTGTGTGTGCTTAATACATTGTCTCTTATCATGCACACACGCCCTTAATCTCTGCTTGGTTGCTAAGAAATGTGGAGAAAGGCAAAAGAAAACTTTGAGCAATAATTCTATCCAATTCCAGACTGTTCGAACTCTTTCACGTTGCTTCCTTTGGTGGATGTAGTGCCTCCTATAATACGAATTAGAAATCTATGGTCTTAAAACTTCAGTTTATCTTTCTTTTGCATTCATTTTCTTCTCAACCAAATAGAGACCATATTGTTCCATGCCTTTCCGTGTTGCATTTTTATTCTTTTCTTACAATAATGACTGTCACTTTTATCCTTTTATCTGTCCTAATTAATTTGGATGTGTTGTTACGCAGGAATACCACTGGTTTTGATTGAACTGAACTGTGGAATGGAAGGTAATATATATCCAGGGTTTGGTAATGGAGCTCAAGTGGATGGCAAGGTTTTGCAGACATTTCAAAAGAGTTTTGTGCAAGTTCAAGACATCCTAGACCAAAACAGGCTGCTAATTAACGAGATTAACCAAAACCATGAGTCAAATATCCCCCAGAACTTGAGCAGGAATGTCAGCTTAATTAAAGAGTTGAACAACAACATTAGAAGAGTGGTAGATCTCTATGCCGATCTCTCGAGCTCTTTCACAAGGTCGATGGAGCCTTCATCGGAAGGCGATTCGGCCGGGACGTACGAACCTGATGGAAACGCTAGTCAGAAGAGAATTAGATCTGGGTAAATTTGATCAAAGCTAAGCCTTTTGTTATAAATTACTCCTATAGTATTATCTTTCACTGTGGAATATTGAAATAACATCCTATGAGATTTACCGTTGTGGTGATGTAGAATTATGTTATCTTGTTTGAAATCAAAGCATTACTTGTTTAACATCTGCAAATCGTGGCCTGGAAATAGTGGATTTTCTTCACTTTTTTGTTTGTTTAATAAATGAGATAGGGTTATCTTATCTGTACTTGGTCTGCATTTTTAATTGTTTATATAACGAGGCTAGTGTGATTGCTTAACTGTCACTAAATGCATTTTCTAGTTTATTTTCATTTGTTAAGAGCTATGATATGCCTTTGATGGGAACTCCCAACAACCACACTTTATTCTTCTCCCTTGTTTTTCGAAAGCAGATTCTTCATTTCTCCTTTTAGATTGCAAGTAAAGGGTTGGTATATACTGCTTTTATAACCCTTTTTTGAAGCTTCTTTTAAGTCTAGAAGCCCCAGACAATTGAACATGGTACATACTATGATATTAATTTGTTGATGGAAAGGATGGAGTTATGTACCTTGTGGTAATTTAGTTCATATTTTCTTATTTGGACGATAGGGATGAGTCCAAAATTAAATATTGACAGGGGTCGAAATATTAGATTATTTAAGAAAAATATAAAGACTTGTTAGGTATTTAAACTCGAAAATCGGCATGAACAAGTGACCTTAGTGATTAAGGGGATTGTTGTTATCTTTTATGTCCCAAGTCAAGCACTACGTATATAGGGGTATGAGCGTTCTTTGTCAAATAGTTGAAAGTCTTTGTACATATACTACATTGTATTCACCTTAAATTTATAATAAAAAACTCAAAATCACAAGACAACTTCTAATTTGTCTAATATTTAAACTTACAATGACATAAATTGTAATTAGACTAAAAATTTGAGAACATGTTCTTATCATTCTTTAGTTCGACCACTACTTGATTAAATATTAAATATTTTTAAATTTAAATATTTAATTTTACATGAACTAAAATACTATTAAATCAAAATTATATTGAATATACAAATTTTAATAGGAGTCAGGAGCCCTTGGACCCTAAAAGAGCTCCGTTCCTATCGGACGAAAAGCGCAAATAATTATTTAGTAAAAGGAGAATAAATAAACTTAAAAAGATGAGAAATTATTGAGAGAGAGAATTATCTCTCTTTCCAACCTTACACAATGATTTATATACATGTTTGTGGTGTTGGTGTTAGGCCTAGACGATGATTGTTAGTTATAAGTTAATAAAATAAAGAGAAAATAACCTCAGTGACCAAAAATCCCATATAATATACGATTTTAACCAATTTTTTCCGGATTTGCCAAAATGACCAACAAAATCGCAATGCGATCGCTAATTCGCAACGCGATCTCCATTATCGCAAATTCGCGTTGCATTTCGCGTTGCGATAGTTGAAAATCGCGTTGCGATGGTATACAGTATCATTGCGATTTTCCCAATTCGCAATGCGAATAAGTAAATCGCAACGCGAATTGGGAAAATCGCAATGCGATACTGACTATCGCAATGCGATACTGACTATCGCAATGCGATACTTACTATCGCAATGCGATAATACAAAATCGCAACGAGATACTGACTTTCGCAACGCGATTCTGACTTTCGCAACGCGATTTACATAGCGCCATTCGTATTAACGCGTATTTTTTTTTTCAAATTCCAAACACGAATTTTTTCTTAATAAATCGGAAACTGAACCGTCCACAGTAATCGCAACTCATAACCTCAAACTCAAAATCACAACACTCAGTCCCATCTCCATCTCTCACTCTCTACTGCGAAATCCGTCCCCATATCCGAAGATTTCCGTCCCCATCGCCGGCGAAATCCCTCACAACCATTCACAGTCAAAAATCCCTCACAATCATTCAGAAATGGAAAATCAACCTCTGAGGGTTAGTTTTGTTTTATTTTTATTTTGAAATTTTTGCATTATTTTAGGTTTTGCATATTGAGATTGATGATAAGTTTACTGATAATTTCAATAATAGATTAACCATTTCACTTAGATTTCTTATTAAATTCATTCGATTGCTGTCAATACTGCTAAACTGTTTAGCCTGTGAAGTTAGTATTTGTCTTTGTTTTGTCTTTTGGTTGAAGTAATGCAGAAGAAGAATAGTTTCGAGAATGAAAATCGCAACGCGGAAATAACTATCACAACGAGAGAATCGTAACGCGAAATAAAAATCGCAACGCGAAACCAAAATCGCATTGCGATTTTCATTTCGCGTTGCGATTTTTATTTCGCGTTGCGATTTTCATTTCGCGTTGCGATTCTCTCGTTGCGATAGTTATTTCGCGTTGCGATTCTCTCGTTGCGATAGTTATTTCCGCGTTGCGATTCTCATTATCTCGTTGCGATTTTCATTTCAACCAAAAGACAAAACAGTGTTGCAAATTTTAGTTTCAAGAATAAACTACTATTTATGTTTATTGTTTTTGGTATATCTTGACAGTGTAGTTTTTGGTATATCTAACTTGTTATGTTTATTGTTTTTGTAGAAATTTTTTTCGGCTTCATTGACATTAAGGAATAAAGTTAGCCTAGCACTACAATTGCTTCGAAGCTTTCACATGCACAAAGAAAATTGTTTGAGGAAACCTGCTTCGGGCCATGGCTGAGAGTACAGCATCCGGGTGGAGAAACTAATTTGACCCATTTGTGGCTTCAGACCATGACTAGCGATCTACCCGACAGTATATATTGTGGTGAGGAAGAGATATGGTTTCATTTTCCACCGGCGTATACTTGTTTTGGGTGGAAGGAGTTATGCTTAATCACTGGTCTACGATTCGGACACGATGATGTAGGCCGGTACACTCGTCATATCACCCGCCCATCATGGTTATCCAGGGTTTTTTCTGATGAGTCAATAGAGAAGCCGAACTTACATGTCGACGACATGAAGAAATTATTTAATAAGAAAGATGGTTTTACTCGGATGAATGACGTCGATGTTGTCCGAGTATGCCTTCTACTACTTTGGTATGCCGGCTTTTTAGACAGAGAGGCCAGACAACCTATTCCTCAGGAGCTAATATTATTGGTAGAGGACCTAAATGCATGGAATCTGTTTCCGTGGGGTTCGTATATATGGAAAGCTACCTGGACTAAGTTGTCGTCTGCCTTTGATGACCGCAAAAGTTTGCGGGGCGATGGGTCGAAATACACTTTGTCAGGCTTTGTTTGGGCCTTTAAGGTAAGAATTTCTATATAATGTTTTCAAAATTATAATTAATTATTTAACAATTACTAATGTTTGTTATTATATTGTTTGTAGATTTGGATATTCGAGGCCTTTCCCGCCATGAAGACATATGCAATAAAAACTTCAAATGATATTCCCATGGCTATTTCCTGGAAGAGGAAACGTCTGTTGGATTGGGAAGACTTAATACCATATGCGACAATAAATAATGTAAGTTAACACAAATACTATCATATATAAACAAGTTATTAATAGTAGACGTTTAACTTTGTTTGAGTTTTTATATTTTTAGGAGGCCAACATTCCATTAATGAGACTGACACCCACGGAGGCTGAGCTTGCCACTGATTGGTGGCAAGCTAGTCAGCGTTTTCTTGATGACACGAATGATGAGCAGCCTCCACTTCCTCCACTTCGAGAGCCATCACCTCACCCAGAGCCATCACCTGATCGACCCGACTATACACCTCTACAACGAGAGCCATCACCTATCCCGTCACATCATCGAGCCTCTTCTCCACCATCACCTCATGATAGGCGACCGGCAAAGATGCCACGACTTCTATTTCCCTGTTCTCCACCTCCACGGGATGAGTCAAGGGAGTTACGTGATGAGGTCAATGCCTTGCGTGAGGAGATCGGTACTCTACACGATAACGATGGTGCATGGCGTGTGGAGGTGTCTACTTTACGTGGTGAGGTTGCCGCTCTACGTGAGATGGTAGTATCGTTGCAGAATGAGGTTCATACTCTACGCAACGAGGTAAGTTTAAGATTTTCCATATTTAACTTGATGATAAATTTACTCGTAATTTCACTTAATTTAACCATTTCACTTAGATTGCTTAGTAAATTTATTCGGTTGCTGCCAATACTGCTAAACTGTTTATTAACACTGTGAAGTTAGTATTTGTCTTTTTGTTTTGTCTTTTGGTTGAAGTAAATTTATTCGGTTGCTGCCAATTCTGCTAAACTGTGTATTCTTTAACAGTGTGAAGTTAGTATTTGTCTTTGTTTTGTCTTTTGGTTGAAAGTTTGAAATATATTTGTCTTTGTTTTCACTGTTTAAATATCATGTATGTTTATTTACTGATATTTGTATTTAATTATTTAGCGGACCGATAAGGTGGATGCTTTACGTCGGGTTGTTCTTACACGACAGAGTTCACGCATCAGACGGCGTGCACGTGCTATTAAGTCTCTGTTTACCCCAATAGTGCAAAGACACCGCAAGAAGAAGCCCAACTCGCCTGTCATCCCTCAAGAGTCCACTCCTATCGTTGAAGAGGCCCCTATCATTCCTCGAGAGTCCCCTCCCACCGTTCAAGAGGCCACTGTCATCGTTGAAGAGGTCCCTCCCACCATTCAAGAGCCCGATTCACATGGCGTCATATGTAGGATTCTTGAGAAACCCTCTGACGTGTCGGATATGATGGATTCAAGTTGGCTCTCATATGAGTTACCGGCCAGTACCATACTGGTATCTGAAGTGGAGATGAAACAACTACCGGACACAATTCTGGATAACACCCTTTGGGCTAAGACCGCAGTTGATTTTTATCTACATGAGCGAAGCCAGTGGTGTTTCACTGACATATGCAAGCTCAACGATGATATCTATTTGTTGCTTGATTGGTCTTGGTGGGGCGTATTATTAGGGGTCGAAGACAATGGCTATTTCGATGGAGGGGTAAGTCTTATATTTTTCTTATATTTTAATTTGATTATTTTTTTGTAAATTTATGTAAGTTACTAATATATGTCTTTTTTTGTAAAACATCATATCGATCG